ATGATAGAAGTTCAGTGTAAAACACGCAAAATCGATCGATACATTAGGCACAATGGACAAACCAGTTGTTCTCCTTTACAGACCTGGTCTATTTGACACTCCAGCAATTCGTTTTCAAAAGTGTCATAAAGTTCAGCTTCGAGCAGTTGTTTCTCTTCTAAAAAATGCATTCAACTGAAAAGAATAGTATATATCGTCTTTTCAAAAACTCCTGTCAATTATGACTTCATAAAAATGGGGTTTCAAAATACAGGGAATAGAGAGATGGCAAAGCAATTATTACAATTGCTTACGTTTAAGTTGGCTCGCCCCGTAGCGTGCTCCGATGATGAGATGTAATAAAGACTACCATCTGGCTACTCCTTGTGTCTAGAGCCACTGAACGGCGTTTTTGTACATCACTGGCATGGACTCAGATTATATATTTGTACTAAGCCCTCGGATTAGAATAGTACTCGAACAAGATTTCACTACATGAGAAAACGATTTCAGTTCGTACAGAAAGGCAAGAGTAAAACTAAGACAGACTTCTTCTCCACTGCAATGGAAAGAGCTGACCTACGACTGAGTATAACAAAAAATGAATGCAGGTTATAATGGCTACTTGCGCAAGAACATTCCCGCTTTACACTTTTGTGCATATTTTAACTTGGAACAGACAAAATTTTTATTCCATAATTAGCAGGATATCAAGCAAGACAAGTCATTAATAAACAGCCACATCGACTGAAGTAACGTCAGTCATCATAAAGGACGATCGTCATAAGTTTCCGACATTGAACAAGCCTCGATTCCTCTGCAAAACAGGATGTTTTAAAGGAACGAAACTCAGTTTCACCTTACCCTTGCATATGATCTCACTCTTTTCAATGCCTGCATCACATTATGATGGAAACAACATCGACTTTCTTAGGATATCATATGGTGGACCGATTTCAGCATAAATAAAATTCAGTATATTTACTGCGGAATAAATTCTGTCTAGAGTTTCAAGAAATTGGAATACGTGCTTCTGAGTGATCACAATGAATGTGATCTGCGACACGTGAGAGCTTAACAACTTTAAAAGTAGTACAGTATACTGCTGATTTCCAGCGGCTCTAAGAGCCATGAAGTTAATCGTTTCCTTCCCTGTGGCACGTAAACTTACAAATCTGAACTAGAATAACAAAATACTTTCAGTTTCTCTCTCATGCCGGATCTTTTCAAATAATGCCAGATCTTCCTCTGAGGGTTCTTCATAAAGGCAAACACTCTAAAAATAAAACGTTATGAGTCTGAAACAACCAAAGTTTAAATTGCATTTTATTAATTATTACTTATTGTGCATAGGTAAGGATGCAGAAAGAGAGGGAACTGGTCGTAAAGCAAATGAGACTACCATTACCCATTACTAAATTTTGATAGATAATGAGGAAGAATCCTTACCCCATAGATAAAACTGTATTCTTAGACTGTTCAGAAAGTCAGAACCAATTTTAGGATTGATTACACAAATGGACTGGAGAAGTGAGATAATGAAAGCAGCATATAATTGTGAAATTGAGTGTAAATGCACAACATCTCAGTCTAGTTACCAAGACAGAAACATGCAGTATACTATACTGACTATATTGGAACGGAGGCAGCGACGCAGCGGTAAAGGGTCGAACTAAATTTCAAAGGCAAAGCGCTCAAACTCACGCGGTACTAAATTTCAGTTCCGTTGTGCAAAAAATTCACCGCAAGCTGCGTCCGCCTAAGAAGCCGAGAAGCGTTGAGCAAATCGCTGACTTTCGAATAAGCGAGAGAGCATGGCATTCTCATGGGGTCATACCAGAATGGACCACACGTATGTTCATGCTGCGTGATGCGAACTCCGCTCGGGTCCGTGATTCGATTTGACTCGCCTGATAACTGATTACCTATTGCGATTACCAGCAGAGGCGTAAATCACGCAAAACGATATAACTATATAATCATCATCATATTTATTACCGTCATTTCTTCTACATCACCTTCAGTTTTATCCCTTGAAATTCATTGACAGAGCTTCTGCCGTCAGCTGCTATGTTATCATTCTCAATGGAGCATTGCTGTACTCTGCCGCCTGCTTATTCTTCGTATTCAATTCATTCCGTACAAATTCATCATTCACTTTATTAACATGTCATGGGACAATGGTTAGATATCAAAGTTGGGATCGAATTGCGAAAGAGATAAAATTTCCACAACCGCTAATTCACTCAAGCCACCCCTAAGCAGGGAATTTATTTTATGCATTTTTACACAATCAGCTGAAAAACGGGCAGCAAGTCTCTGACCCGGTTAAAAAAAGAACGGCTGTAAAGTTCTTGAGTAATTCGTTCTGATCCACCTGATAGCTTAGTATTCACTGCCAGCAAACACTTTACGTTGATCGAATTAATGCGTGTTCATTCTTTAGTCCTTCCAATGCCGTATAAGTTCAAAAAGAATTTTTACATCTATGTGAAGCTTTTTATGGCTGTCCATTGACATGAGACTTTGCGTTCAGCGTTCGCTTCGCAATGCGACTATTGTTCATTCGCTATCAATAGCCCCACAACCTTAAATGGCTCATTTACAGCCAACGGTCGCTTCAATACAATGCACTAGTCTCAAATACACCAGCATTTGATATTAAATCATACCACTTCACTCAAAATTTAATTCCTTTTTATTAGGAAAAAAGAAAGTTTGAAAGTTTCGCGAATTTTTTCGTCAATTCTTTAGTAATAATCAGATAGTGCTTAACATAAAGAAAGCCAACATTAGTTTTATGGAAATACGTGCTTTATAATAGGGGGTAATAGCGTAGTTGGTTAGTAGGTAGTTCTGCACGCCAGAGTGCGGATTCAAGTGCAGTTTCCACACCACTTTGCCTTCTGGCAACCAGCCGAAAACTGGTAGCAAGTCGTTGACCCCCGAACAACAATAAGAACAGCACGTGCTTTGGTGTGGTCATACCAAAGCGTGCGGGATATACTACCATGTTGTCTGATCTTGTGCTTTACGGCTGCGAGTCACCCCTTGACCCACCTGACATCTAACTAAAAATCAGCACAGTTTTGAACGCAAATGCTAAAAATTAAAAAGTTAAATACTCTAAAGTAAACTGGTTGAAAGTGACAGGGAAATCTGTTTTCTTATCGTACGTTTCATACATTCTAGAACTACCTTTCCACAACGCTCATACTAAATCGCTGATTTTCAATGGATTTAGTGGCTCTGTAGCGTCTAGTCCACCGCCTACTTTCCAAATGGAGACACTCACTAATCAAAATGAAAGATATGCTTCGAATTTACGATCGCTAGACTTGAGTTTGACGGTCTATCTATCCAGTTATCCGAACAATAACTCATTCACTTCAGTCAATGGTTCGATATATTTTTCATCACTATAAAATATATAATGAAAATACCGTTTTTGAAGAAACATCGATGCCACGTCTAATATCGTGTACTTTCGCGCGACTGTCTTTTAGTCTTTGCAAAAACAACTAAAAAAATAATTATTCAGGAACTGCGACTTGTTTAAAATAAAATTCCTACCTTTCTTAAACGATCTACTAAAGCAGTCGAAGACATAGCCGTCTTGTACATTCTCCTCCGGTCACGTGAATGTGAAGTTGACGGTGCAGACATGGTTTATCGAGATACTGAAAATTTAAGAATTCAACGTTTTGTTTAGTCAAAAAACCCGGGCGATGCGTGATTGCCAGAGACGGAAGCTGTTAATTTTCTCCATAACGATCATTCGACCGTTGGTTGGGAAAACGTCTGGAACCGGAAAATCGACTGCTATCTGATTGCTTGATCCATGCCATGACATTCGGAGCGTCACCATGAGTACACGAATTTTTTTTTGAGTAAGTAATTTACCACATACTGCTTCAGACTTGGGTTGCTCAGTCGGTAAAGCCTCACAGTCAGAAATGATAACTCCCGAGTTCTAGTTCCATTCGGGATCACTCGCTATTCTATCTTCCGAGGTAGATAAATGAGAGAGTACCAGTCTTGGGGAAGGAAACAGGAGACTACACGCTACGCCAATCACATGGCTGTAGACTCTGCTTAAAAAATAAAGTAATGTAAGCGATGGCATAGAAATGAAGTTTATGAAAAGAAGGGGGCGAATATGGCCCAATCACGAAAACGAAGGAAGAGCGACAGCGACAAGAGGACAGCGTACAGGACGATGAGATGCCTAACTGATAAGAAGTTAGAATGATGAATCAGTACCCTTCAGATACTACTATTTAAATGGGAGTATGAAGAGGACAACCAAAGCAACAACTATATTAACACCGGTAGCCGATTCATCAGGCTCAACGACAACACATGAAAATAAATTAACCTTCCAAAGCTGCACCTGAACAACTTTTACTTGAACCTTGAAACTATGATTTTCGTTGTCCTATAAAAAAGTCAAGAATGAGGGTGCTGAAAAATTTATGGAACCATGCTGGCTTACTTAATACAACCTCCAATGCCTTTTATGGGCAACGATATGAATGAAAATCAGGATCATCATCAAATTAGTGCATTCTACAACCACATATCATTATTAGACATGCACGGTCGAAGGAGGCGGTGTGAGTAACGAAGTTCAACTTAGACAGGACAACCGATCGCCGTTCCTGACCTGGGAAGATATCTATACGGAATGCGGCACCCGGGAACAAATGTAATGCGATCGTAAAGCAGAGATCTCCGGGATCGCATAACGTTACTGCAGGAAGACCAATTCGCGATGAGACATTTTCAGTGAGAATTAAACCATGCTACCTCATTCAACAAAATATTGCTCAAGAGTATATATAACAGGCAAAGTGACCTTTCGACGACCTTAAATCAACCTTGCATCAAACAAAGTCTCACATTTTCAGCATGTTCTCTAAAAAACTACAGAATCTGCATGATAATGTGCAGGTATGATGCACTGTTCCCTTATTGTAGTGTATTGTCGTTTCATGTTTGACGTATTCTGCCGTTCTTTAATGAGCATCTCTCGTTGGAAGGAGGAGTTAGGGAGAATTGCCTCATTTCATCATGTTTTTAATATCATTCTTTGCCTCTCTTTCTACTTTACCAAAACGGTGCCGCCAATATGCCGTCTTTTGTACGGCTCGGATGTGAAATGCGGGATAAACGAGGTAACAGTTGTTTCATCAATTACAACCGGTTAATTGTATGTGCAAATATTATCGCAGTAATTTTGCTTTTACTCGTATGATGTCATTCCGTTTATAGCGAAATGCATCACAAATAAGCTACTAGCATCTGAGTTGATTTTTGTATCATCAATCGGAGAACAATCTGCAATTTCAAAAAATAGCCCTGAGTTGGAAATGTTGTCATATTTATTCTCGGAATAAGTTTTAATATGTTGTTGTGAGCTCTTGTTTTTCTCCATTCAGCAGTCAGGCATTTTAATTACAACAAGTCATGCTCTTGCGGCTTGCGCCATTTTACAGAACTCGTTGCCAGGTCCGTTTCACTTTCAGCGGTTCGCAGGGTACCACAGAATTTTAAAAGCCACATAAAACAGCTGTTCCGTAGTTTTTATACATAGAGGAAATTGTAGTCGTGTCCTTTTGTACATCTTTCTTAAATTTGCCCATATACAATTGCATAAAATCACACTGTTCGAATTATCGCTTGCTGTTTGGTATATCGCACGGCTTTGGGAGCTTTTCAGCAAGCTTTCCGAAAGGTTTAATTCTTGTGTAGCGATGAGCTATAGGAGCAAGGGAACGGTGTAATATACCATGAAATCTTTACTGGGAAGGGTCATTCGTTGAATGTTTAATGCCATTATGTTACTCCAAGACTTTTAGTTATATCCTGATGAACTGCATGCAGAAACGTCTTCTTCTTCATCTTCCAAGATCGATTCTCCTTTCTGATTGCGGAGGCATGCGTGTCAAACAGAGTTTCCAGCGTTCCTGATCCTCTGCCATAGACTGAGTTTCGACAGAAGACAACTGGAGTCTGGAACAGACTCCTTCCATATATTTGCACCAGGTTAATCTGGCCGTCCCTTGGACCTTCTGTTGGTCGGATTTGCAAGAAACAGTTGCTTACTCCTTTCTGGAGGCATTCGTAGCACATGTCCTAGCCATCGCAGCTGCGACTTCTCAATCTGGAGAGGCCAAGGCTGTATTCCAAGGCTGTTCCGGATGTCAGTATTCCGGACCATGTCGAGACGCGTCAGGCCAGCGACTCGTCTAAGAAAGCCCGTTTCAGCAGCTTATACCAAAGTTCGAAGCTTTTCAGTCACTCTAAAATCACTTTGACTGTTATATTTTCGAAAACTGTCTGATGCCCTACCACAATCCCAAACAAGCTAAACGGGAGAAACTACAAAAGGTCTAGAAATGCTTATTCAGGTTCCTCTCCTTCCAAAGCATATTGGGCATTAAACATCTGGTATAACAGTCAGTTACTTTTGTCGTCCAGGTGGCTGTTAAACTTAGCGGAAAAATCCTTGCTGACGGCATATATACCGTTTTTCTCGTTTCTAGTATTGTACATTTGTTGCGTTGTTTCTACTGCTAGTATTTTATTATAGCGCGAATATCAGGTTCTTCTACTGTTGGCCGTGATCATATACAGTAAGAACCGGCGGGCAAGTAGGCTACTAATTAATTGTATGATCGGCTTGATTTTAAGTAACTGTGATTTTAGCGTCATGGGTTCATTACCTGTCGAATGTGTTTCTGTTCACCAAAGTGGCCAACATGGTGCTCTTCTATTGGTGCGGAGCTCAGTATTGCATTTTATACGGCATTTGCATTCTCGTTGTCTGGGTTCTTTTTCCCGAACCGGCTTACACAGGCCCAGAAACGATATCCTATCTTCCTGGTCCTGTTCTGAAGGTATGCTTTTTCTACATCTTTTGCTTTTTTATTATTGAAAAGTCATTTACTAAATAACACCATGGAGTAAATTTATTATGTCTCTGTTCTCAAACTCTTTTACTGTCGCTCCCTGAAGGAGGTAGAATTCGGTTGACGTGCGGTCTATTAAAAAAAAAGCGTTTTGAAAGTAATGACCCAATGACAGAAAAGAAATAGTAAACTTTTAAAATACATGAATACGTGAGAGATGTGCAAACAAGTTTTACTCTGTGATGTTTCACAAAATATTAATTAAAACCTAACCGAATGGCAGCATTAACTTCTGACAGAGTAATTGATCGAAAGTCTTACAAAACTGTTGTTCTGAATAGATTTGGTTGTTTACGAGGTTTGTATATTTGACAGACTGCAGAAATATCTTTCCATTTCATTTCTAACTTTCGGTTGTTTTCCTTTCATTTCAGGAAGAAATCGAAAATAATAAAGATGTCATTTGGCTGGTCGAATTTTACTCAACCTGGTCGTCCATGTGTCATCACTTTGTACCTGTTTTCGCCGAGCTGAGTAATCAGTATTCTCTGAAAAATCTCAGATTCGCTAAGCTAGATGTCTGTCGGTACAAAAATGAAGCCATTTTGTAAGTGGATTTTGTAAATTTTCGAAAATTCATAGTTCCAGATGGAGCGGTCATTCTTTTTAATTTTAAATCTATAAATATCAGAATAGCTGTAAAGAAATTCTTTTGGTGAAGAGAAGCCTGGAAGAAAAAAAGTCTATGAAGTGTGACCCGCATAACGTATTATGATCGAGCGAGTTGTTTTTAGAAGGGCAATCATTTGCCGTCTTTGGTTTGCCTAAAAGATGTGTACCGTCGATGATTGTATGCTTTCGTTCGGCTCCCTTGAGTGTCTGACCGTCATAACTTGTGGTGAACCGGGTGAGAGAATTATGTTTTAGTTTATACGATGACCTAATCTTCTTTGTAGGTGTTTGCTTTTTTGTATGATCAAAATGTGATATATTATTTTATCTCTAAAAATATGACAGCTTCGAAAAGTCTCAGCAACATAAGACGCTTAGGTGACTTGCAGCTTCTCTCCTTACCTAATACTGGTGTATCTTTCAAATATTCTCTTTAATTTGTTCGATTATAGTCAATAATGATTTATCATTGTAATTTGGTCCCAGATTTGTCGCCACATAAATCAACAAATGTATAAGTTAACCATTTTATGCTGTTTTTTTAATTTTTAAAGTATTAATTCATATTTCTGGTCACTTTTTTGATGAAACGCAATGTGTTTGTCAGAAACATCAACTTTTGTGAACGGCTTTTTACTTATTAACTTGTTTTATCATAGCCACTGCGTTGTAAGACTTTAATTGATATTCTGTGCATGATTTCAGCTTCGGTGTTAATTGCCAGTCTGACTCAAGACAGCTGCCCACTTTGATTCTTTTCCAGGACGGCAAGGAGAAACTGAGAAGGCCCGTAGCTGGCGGCAGCGGTCGCAGTTTCACATATGTTTTCACGAAGGTGAGACATTTATTTACATTTGTGTTTCTTAACTTTTAGAGAAGTTCATCATG